TTCTCAAGAGTATGGAGCCATTTCTAGGTTGGTAGCTAGGACAATGATCAGTAAGTTAGTCACCAGGATGTGAGCCTGCCTTTCCTCAGTCTTAGACTGCATCAGATTTCATGGTCTCCTACCTGGATCCCCAAACTCCCTGAAAGGCACTTGTTTCCATAGATGAAGGCCAAATTATTGTGTGCGGAGGGTGATATGCATGAGAGACCTTTTGTTCTGCCAACTTGCTTATATAACTCCTAGTTTATACTTTAATTAAAGACACACACTCAATCTGGAGTGCAGTAGCCTGTTATTCAAAATGGGTCTTAAAAGAAGGTAGAAATTGAGGTATAGATTTGGACTGCATTAGCATTTGAAATCATGGAAATAAATGAGATCGCTCAAGGAAATGTATAGAGCAAAAATTATAAATGAGATTGCCCAGGGAAATGTGTAGAGCAAAAATAAGACAAAGTTGTCATACATGATCATACAGGGAATAGGCAGAGGGTGGAATTAATAAAGAAGACTATTATATAGATCTTACTTAAATCCAAAAAGAATTTGAAGTAATTTGTATAAATAGTACCATAGTGTTAAAAGAAAACTAAATATAAAGATCAAGGCTACAGGGAAGTAAGGATAATTTAGAAAGATGAAGACTTTGATCAGGATAGAAATTTATATTATCACTACATTATTTTGCATATTTGTTAGATAATAGGCATAAATTAGGCTTTGATATTTCTAGTAGTAGTCAAGGCGTTATGGAAATGCAGTCAGTTTGGAAATGCAATTGTTTGAGATAAGCAGATTTTTTTCTGTGGGGGTATACTAAGAGTTGAAAGAAATTTCTCCCCTCAGTTCTCATAAAGGGGAAATTGTACAATGTGATAATGAGTGTCTTCAATATCCTCCCCCAAATAAACAAAATATTTAGTATTACTTCTGGTAACATCTCTCAATGTAAGCTTTGGTTATAAAAAATTATTAAAATTATTCTGTCAGGGTCTAACACAAACCAGTCCAAATATGTAGTTTTCTGATAGTGTTTGTTGTGGATGACTTCTCTTAGTTTGCCAGAGCTGCTTGTTAAAATGAAAACACCTATCTTTTTCTTTCTTAAATGAGCCACATGGGTTGATTAAATTGATGACTCAACACCAGGCATTTATAAAAGGAAAAGAGTCTATTTATTGGTATCATGGGTAATGAAAGAAGTAGAGGCACCAGCTCCTCTTTCTCCTAATCTCCCATCCCCATTCCAGGCATTCACAGAGATGAGTATTGTTGGCAACAGATGAGATGGTAATGACTCTTCTTGAATCACGACTTGGCTATGTTGGTCTCTGTCAAAGTTCCTAATATATTCTAATAGAATATATTAGAAGAGTGGACATGAAGATATAATATGAATAGGATAGATGTGGTATGCTACTCTCATCAGAACCCAGTGACTCAGACTCAGTTATTTTACCAGTATTTCCCTCTTTTCTGAACCATTTCCCTCAATGGGCACTTAATTAGCAAATATGCATTTAGAGGAATGGGATCTTGTTTGGGATATGAACTCCTTTATTTTATTAAAGGAACACTTCAGTAATATTAAGGAATTATAACATTCTTAACATTCAGACTTGCTACCTGGTATAAGGATGTTATCCTTACTTTTCTTCTTGTACAATCAATTTATGAATACTTGTTCTTTTCTCATATGATGAGGTGAAATAATCATTATAGTATCTTTTAAGAAATTCCTCCATATAGTATGGCTTGATTTATAAAATTTCTAAAATTTTGAGGGATGTGAGATTATATGTTTTTAGAATATTTTCTATGACTGTTATTTCTTGAAACTAAGTGTTTGATAAGAATTTGATAAAAAGAGGATCCAAGAATATATTCTCTATAATGAACTGAATTGAACGTTTTCAGTAATGTAGATCAGGATTGGTAAACTTATTGTAAAGGGCCAGATAGTAAATATTTTAGGCATTGTGAGCTGTATAGTCTTCGTTGTAGCTACTGAATTCTGGTGGTGTGGTAAAAGAGCAACTTTAGACAATATGATAATGAATGACTGTGTTCCAGTAAAACTTGATGGACATTAGAGTTTGAATTTCGTATAACTTTAATGTGTCACGAAATACTATATATATTCTTCTTTAGATTTTTTCAAGTCATTTAAAAATGTAAAAACAATTTTTAGCTAATGGGCGATACAAAAACAGGTAGCAGGTTAAATTTAGCCCGTAGAGCAAGTAACTGAACCCCTACTTTAGATCAAAGGTCAAATGAGAAGGAAGAGTTGATATCCTTTTGCAAGAATTAACAGTCTCATTCAAGACTTGTACCTAAATAGATGACCACCCACCTCTACCTGAGTTGGAATGGAGGAGTTTCTCCAAACAGTGCTGAAATTTTCTTTCTAAATTAGTTTTAGAGTATACAAGAATGATCATGACACATAGTTGTAACACATAAAGCAAGACTTTATATAATAATTTTGACTTAGATAATTGAAGACTTAAAAAGCATAGTTAAAATGGTAAAACTGCAATAAATAGCCTAATCACTAAAATATACTTTAAAAAAGCAAAATTATAGAGGTAACTGAACTGGGGAGAATAGAGGCTCAGAATTCAGGGAAGATATAATTCAAGAAGTGATCAAAAGAACTAGGTTCTACAATGTCAATTGGGAAGAGAACCTTTTATTTTTACTTTTTATATATATATTTTATTGATTATGCCATTACAGTTGTTCTATTTCCCCCCTTCATTCCCCTCCACCCTGCACACCCCCTCCTCCACCATTCCCCCCTTTAGTTTATGTCCATGTGTCACAAGTGCTTTAGATTCTATATTTCCCCTACTATTCTTGCCCTCCCCCCTGTCTATTTTCTACCTACTGTCTATGCTACTTATTCTCTGTACCTTTTCCCCCCTTCTCCTCCTCTCACTTCCCTGTTGCTAACCCTCCATGTGATCTCTATTTCTATGGTTCCACTCCTTATCTAGCTGTCCTCTTAGTTTGCTTTTGTTTTAGGTGTGGTTGTTAATAACTGTGAGTTTGCTGTCCTTTCATTGTTCATCTTTTTTATCTTCTTCTTAGATAAGTCCCTTTAACATTTCATATAATAAGGGCTTGGTGATGATGAACTCCTTGAACTTGACCTTATCGGAGAAGCACTTTATCTGCCCTTCCATTCTAAATGATGGCTTTGCTGGATAGAGCAGTCTTGGATTTCTCTATGAATCCAGTCCTTTCATGACTTGGAATACTTCTTTCCAGGCCCTTCTTGCCTGTAAGGTCTCTTTTGAGAAATCAGCTGACAGTCTGATGGGAACTCCTTTGTAGGTGCCTATCTCCTTATCTCTTGCTGCTTGTAGGATTCTCTCCTTCATTTTAATCTTGGCTAATGTAATGATGATGTGCCTTGGTGTGTTCCTTCTTGGGTCCAGCTTCTTTGGGACTCTCTGAGCTTCCTGCATTTCCTGGAAGTCTATTTCCTTTGCCAGATTGGGGAAGTTCTCCTTTATTATTTGTTCAAATAAGTTTTCCATTGGTGGCTGTTCCTTTTCCCCTTCTGGTGCCCCTATAGTTTGGATGTTGGAACATTTAAAGATGTCCTGGAGGTTCCTAAGCCTCTCCTCATTTTTTTGAATTCTTGTTTCTTCATCCTTTTCTGTTTGGTAATTTTTTTCTTCCTTCTGGTATACTCCATTGATTTGAGTCCCAGTTTTCTTTCCATCACTATTGGTTCCCTGTGCATTTTCCTTCTTTTCACTTAGTTTAGCCTTCATTTTTTCATCTAATTTGTGACTAAAATCAACCAGTTCTGTGAGCATCCTGATCACCCATGTTTTGAACTGTGCATCTGATAGGTTGGCTATCTCTTGGTCACTTAGAAGTATTGGCTGTGGGGCTTTGAGCTGTTCTTCTGGAGTCATAATGTTTTGGTTTGTTCGTGCCTGTTACATATGAGGGGCGGAGCCTTAGGTGTTCACCAGGGTGGGGCGACACAGTCGCAGGGTTGTGACACTGTACGTGGGGGCAGGGTCAGAGAGGGGCAGTGGTATTTGTTCTGAGGTGTCTCAAATTTCGGTCCCCTCTGCTGTTCCCCGCAAGCAGATTGGCCCCTTCTGGTGCCGGTTCCTGGGTGTGTGGGCTTGTACACCCTCCAGGACCCTGTGGGTTTCTCCAGTGAACTCTCTGTGAGCCTGAGAGCCTCTCCCAGAACCTCAACCCCTGAAAGTTTTTCCAGTTGGTGCTTTTAGGCTTTATTTCCCAGTGCTGGGGCCCTGAGTTGTGTGGTCTGTCTCACTGCTTGCTCCTTTGCCTGGTTTATCTGCCTGTGAATGTGTGACTGTGGTCAGCCAGCTGCCTTGTGCCCTCACTGGGTCTGCCCATTTCTACCCCACGCCTGGGATCTGCCAACTGCCACCTGCCACCTGCGTGCCTGGGTCAGTCCAGCCACTTTCTCCTGCGCCCCTCTCTGCCAGCCGCTTACTCTACCCCTCTTACCAATCTGGATGAATGGTTCGTTGTTGTGGGACTTCCATACAGTTCAATTTTTTGTCTGTTTTGGTTGCGTTTTTGTTACTAAATCTTTGTTGTGTTTAAACTTGGTTGTGCGAGGAGACACAGTGTTTCCATCTACACCTCCATCTTGTCCAGAAGTCAGGAAGAAACCCTTTTAAAAAGAGATCACTGAATTGGACGAATTAGATGTTTGGTGATCTTGGGAAGGGTAGTTTAATCAGAATGGTAGAAGTGGAATTTAAATGAAAGAAAATAAAAGAATGAATAACTAAGGTAGTAGAGAAAAAGTGTAAGTTGGAAAGTGTGATGGAATTAAGGAAAGTTTGAAGGGCAAACTGTATTGAGGGAAGCAGGGATAAGTAGATATTTCACTTGTGTTTTAGGTTAATTTAGTAGACTTTAACAAGTGATATTTAGAAAGTTTTTTAGATACACTATTGTGATAATGATATCATTTTTTAAAATTTTAACAGAAAAATGTACCATGGTTATGTATGTCAGTATAAGGATGTTTTGAAGCAGTACAAACTAAAATACTCAGAAACACCTCTTTCACGTGAATATTATGAGAAGAAAAGAGAACATGAAGAAATTCAAAAGAGAGTTTTGGCATGTACTGAACAACTAAAAATGAATGAAACTATTTTTATGGAATTTCTAGGTATTAACATTTTGAATATATATTATTTTAACAGTAGTATCTTTGTAATGAAATATAAAGAATAAGATGACCCAGTCTAAAATATGATTTTGTTTTTCAGTGCCTGCTCCCTTTCCATCACTTATTAAATGGACATTACACATGTATCCACAACAGTATTCCTACTTAGAATTTTTATTAAATAAGTATTATTTTTGTATTTTAATTGTTATTGTGTTTTTCCTGTGAGAATCACATAGATTCGTTTTGAGTTTAAAGTTCATTTGGGATTAGTTTTAATATATGTGATTAGAAGCAGGCAAATTTAATGAGAATAAAGTGGCATATGTATTTGGCTTTAAGTGGCATACCTTAGCAACCAAAGCAATGAAAAAGTCATCTTGCCCTGTCTTATCAAAGAAAAAATTCCAATTAAATAAGCTGATTATTATTTGTTAGGATGGAAGGTGATAAAGAGGTGAATCACAATTATGCATTCATCTGTAGAAAGTCACTGGATACCTGCCTTGTGCCAGGTGATACTCATACTCGATATGATACAGAGTTTTGTTGCAAGGAGCTTTTAGTAGAAGAGACAGATATATAAGCAAGTAATTCTGATACAGTGGCATTGTATTAGATGCTTAAGCAATTCTTAATTGGTCTAAGTCTCATTTGTTTGTCAAAATCTTCCCTAGTGATGAACTTGGAACTTTAATCCTCTTCCAATTTCCACAATCCTTCATATGCTTTCCTATCAGATTATAACTCCACTGTTGTACTAAGCTTCTTTATCCTGCATTCTACCTTTCTTCATACTGCTTCATCCTAAATTCCTTTTACTCCTTTGCTGCTTGTTCTTTCCATGTTTTTATTTTAACTTATTATGTTCTTAGTTGTTCATTGCTGCCCATATGTGTTTTAACTTCTCAGTGGGAAGGGGCAAAGGTTGGTAGATTCAAAAGGTACAGCAGTGGTTTAGAGAATTGAATGTAGGGTGTGATGAGATGTATGAATGCATGGCAAACAAGAAGAGGTGATGGAGGTAGGGAGAGGATTTAAATGTTTATATCTAAAATTTTAAATTGATACTTTTGATGACAGCATAGCATTATAATGTTCATCTGAAATTTTATGTTCTAGTACATAAGTCATATTTTAAGGCAGAATACAAAAAGGTCTGACAGATTTTCTGTGAAGTTCTTGTTCACTATCCTATTTATTTTAAATTCTCCTAAATGGATTGTAGAGCAATGTAGGAAATTGTAGTAGCTAATAACCATACAGGATACCTAGTAACAGCTAAGAAATTCTCTACTTGAAATTTGGTATAAATTCAGTTCAGGCGGTTCATGTCCAATAGAAGAATATTTGGCTCTCTTCTGAATTCTGCAGGGCACACCGATGAACCTTACAGAGCAACAAAAGGGTAGATTTTTAATGTTGACTTTGGAAAAAATAAATAATGGAAACACAAGAAGTTAAATTTGGACTTGAATTGGTTGTATATTGTTAGTCATGCCAAATGACATAATGAATAGGTAAAAAACAAAACAAAACAGAAGCACCAAAAGACCCTGTAAAAATATTTAACTAAAAGAAAAAATCTTAAGTATTTTGAATGGAATGTTATTTTTAAGCATAATATATTATATTACATAGGTAAACAATAAATTCTCAGTTGCCAGATGTTTATATTATTCTACCTTCTGTTTTTAAAAACTGTTATTAATACTGGTTATTGCTTATGTGGAAAATATATATAAGTAATATCACACTATATTAATTTGCATAACATAGTTCCTTAACAACTAAGGGTTAATTTGAGATGTAAAACACAAGATATTCTTAAACATGCCAACAATTTTTCCAAAATTTCATGTGAATTGAAGAAAGAAATAGATGAAGTGGAAATAGAAATTAATTATTTAAACCAGGTATATATTTTGTTATGTCTCTAATATATGTATTAACATATAAGTGTAATAGTATGTTTACTTGACAGTCTTACAAGAGCTGTTTCTAAAGAGCCTAAATATGGATAAAGGCCTATGATGATTTGTTTGGCTCTGATTGCCTTTGGAGCCAAAATGTATTGAGTACATTTAATCCTGGATTTTGGGGACTTGTTTAACTTTCTTTGTGGACTGAAGAAGATGATGAAAGAATAAGACATTAATAACAGGAATTTAAAGTCATTAAAAGAGCTACAGATGTTCTAAAAAAAAAGAGAACAAGACAGTAAATAGTTTGAAGAACTTAATCTTGAAAATTTATGACTATAATTATTATTTATTTATTGTTCAGTTATAGTTGTCCTGCTTTTTTCCCCATTGCTGACTCCTACCTTGCCCCCCCCCCAACTTCTACAATCAGTCTCCCCCATTGTCCTTGACCATAAATCCTCTATTCATGTTCTTTGCTAGCACCTTCCCCTTCTTTCTTCCAGTATCTCACTTGTTGCCCTCCTCCCTGGTCAATGTCAGTTTGTTATTTATTTCCAAGTCTGTGGTTGTGTATTGCTCATTGGTTTGTTTTATTGATTAGGTTCCACTTACATGTGAGATCATATGGTATTTGTCTTTCACCACCTGGCTTATTTCACTTAGTGTAATGCTCTCCAGTTAAGCTAGGGCTAGAACTAGTTTAGTTTTTAAGATTAATTGTGTGTGATATTTTCTTGAATACATTTTTAGTGCTATTAATTGAAATGTGTCTTTTATTGACAGGTATGAGGACCCATCAAATTCCAAAATTTCCCAGATCTTGAGAAAAATTTAATAGATAATTTTCTAAATTTTCTGAAAAATTGTGTTAAAAATGGTAATTTATCATTCATAGTAATGCCAGGAAAGTGGATTTGACTTCCTTTAAAGTATTAATATATGGTAACTATGTCTCTATGTCAGGAAGTTTGCTACTTCTGACTGTCCTTTTTAAAAAAGAAGGTGGCAGTTCATTGAAATCTAGGTTTGCTGATGGAGTTGTAGGGAAAAGTTAAAGGAGTAGGCTTTATTGTTAACTTTACTTTGTTTTAGCAACTCTTACTAAATGAAAGCTAATACTACTAAAAATATAAATCTTCTGATTATATAGAACAATCATATTAGTTAAGATAAAGCATATGTTCCTTAATATTTTGCAGATAATTGTTTTACTTTATCATTTTTATTTTTAGCAGATTGGAAGACTTTATGAAACTAAGAATCTTTCAGAAATTCTGGAAGAAAAAAGTAAAAATACAGAAAAAAGAAAGGAATTGAAAGAAAGGTATAGGTAAACTTTAAATTGGGATTTTATGTGAACAAATATTCTGTATCTAACAATTTTATTCTATATTCTACCCCAACCTACTAACATTTACACAGTATCGTATACATATTCTCTTATGCAGGCTATTTTCTATTCATTTCTTATGAAAAATATTAATTTATACTTTTAAATATTACAGACTGATTTTCAAATTTGCTCATTTTTAGTAAGGCCTACTATAATTTATAGAGAGAAATAGGGTAGCAGCAGCATATTCACTTTTTTATAATCTGTCAGTTGTATATTTCATTCAGTTTTTCATGAGGAGTCACCAATACAAATGATGGTGGGAGTAGCAATATACTTATCTTTTTCTTACCTTGTCACCAGTTTGACCTGTCAGAGAGCGGGAAGATGAGCCAAAATGCTACTGAATTGTTTCCTTGTTAGGAGCCAAAATGCTATATATGTTTCTTTGTTACTCATCCGAATGGTGATAAAATCAATATCAATGGTGGAGGCATTATTTAAAAAGAAGATTGATTTTGTCTGGTACTGTGTAATGGAAAAATACATGTATTACTGTTGCTGTTTCTGATAAACTTTCTGTTGTTCTCTTTTGCCTCTATTCTTTATCATTCTTAAATTCTTTTCCTGAGGCTCCATTGCTCTTATCCTGATTTTTTGACCCATTTTTCTCCCAAGTTAATTTTCCTGATCCTGCTTTCTTGGATCTATTACTTTCTTGTCTCACACTCATGGTAATAGGTTTTTAATTTTGTAATCAAATTGATAAGAAAAATAGTTAAATGTACAGAATTCTACTTTATTGACAAATTTTTAATGTTATAAAATTGCCTATCTTGAGGGGGACTTACATAACTAGTAATTTTTATTTAATACAGATTTTGATAGTTATCAAATAATATACTTATTTAAATTATTTAACCATTAATAATTAAATTGTTTATTTAACTTAGGAAAAATTCAATAAAGTTATTTTTCCAGTAAAAAACTTAAGACTTGTTTATGATTGTAATATCGCTTTAATGGTTTCTATATTCATGCTAGTTGGTTTATTTCTAAATAAATCTTTCCAATGTTTGAAGTATTCCAAAATCTAAAGCATGCTATTTGTAGATAAAATTTTCATTTAAAATATTTTTTGCATGTTTAGAAAGTTTTAAAAAGATGTGATTATGTTTTTAAAATTAGAGTGTGGTATATTTGAGGAGAGCACTGGACTTAACCAGGAGGGGGTGTTTTATCTGTGATTTAAGTAATTTAATAATATTGGGTAGAGAGCTGTTAAACTCTCTGAAACTCAGTTTTATCTGTGAAATAAGGACGTTTAACTACATGGTATCTAATTTCTTTAATATATGTTATGTGTTAATATGTTAATTCTAGCTTTAATATATGTTAATTTCTTTTAAAATATTTATTAAATTTATTGGGGGGACATTTGTTAAGGATATTATACAGGTTTCAGGTGTACAATTCTATAGTACATCATCTGTATGTTGTATTGTGTGTATACCACCCAAAGTCAAGTCGTCTTCTGTTAATACATGTTAATTTCTTACTTCACTGATACTTAATGTAAATCACTCTTCTCTTTAGAATTTTTGAAAAAGATGAACAACATGTACTTGTATCGAATAAAACCTCTCAGAAAAGTCAATTACTTCTTTCAACTGAATATCAGAAATTAGTCAGACCAATCAATGTTTTATGTTCAGAACCAAGAGTTATAGGTATAGTATCTAAATATTTATTTTAAAAAATTTTGGGGTTTTTTGCAAACACCTAGAAGAAATAGAAATAATTTTAGTTATCATTTGGTGTAACCAAAACCAAGCAATACTAGAAACATACAGATTCAGAAAAGTACCACTTTGATTTTTTCTGAGAACAATTTATGCCTTTTATACTAACTTTTTTCTCCTTGAAGGAGAAGTATGACTAATTATATATTTTCATTTGAGAAGTTGTCTTATAATATATATGATTAAAAGTGGGTAGCAGACTTGTGTTAATGATATTCGTGACTTAGTCACTAAAATATTTGATTCATGATTCACTCAATAGATGTGCATAGTAGATTTACTACATTAGATTAAGTACATTGGCTACATTGGCCTAGTCATTAATATCACCACTGTATTTGGTTCCCCATTATAAAAAAGTAGTTTTGCCAGCTGGTTTTCATTTTACAGTCATAGTTATTATAATAATCATAATATAGTGAGGAATTAAGATTTGTATAATAATTTCATAATTTTGTATTTTAATTTACATTAATTATTCATATGACTTGATTTTTTAAATTACAAGGTAGGGTTAAATTTTGGTTATGGTATTTGAATCTCTTTCTGGATTTTATTTGAAGTTGTACAATTTAAAACCTAGATAAAAAAGAAGACAGTTTTGTGAAGCAGTCAAAGCTTTCCAATGTTGACTTCAAACAAAAAGAAAATAATGTACAAGTAGGTATTTTTTAAATAAAATAACTTAAGTACTTGCTTGCATTAAGTGAGGTAATGAATGTATTGCATTTTGGGCAAGCTGTGTGTCTGTGTGTCTGTCTGTGTGTTATAAATATAGGGTCTGGCAGAAGTAATGCCTGCTTGAGTGTGGTTGGTAGGGTGGCAATTTGGGTGTAATAATTTTTTAGTTTTAATTTGAACATTTCACCTAAAATGTCATAAGGTATTCTTGAATGTGATATTGTTATGTAACAGAATTACATGTTTATAGTTGTGTAATAAAAAGGGGGTATTATTTGTGCTGGACCCTGTATACTAAATCAGCTGTTGGTACAACCTCAGAGTCTAATAAAACTTGAGTTTCAACATGGCAGCCTGAGCACATACTGTAGCCTTCTCATGTACTCCTAAAAATAATAGAAAAGATATTTTAGAATACCAAGACCTATACCAAGTAGACCAAAAACTGTGAGACATTTCTGAAGGAGGAAAGCAGGATTGGATTGAAGAGGGAAATTGTGGCCCAGGATTTGCATAGGCGAATACTCTTATAGAAGTTATAGGCTCGAGAGCAATAAGTATGTCAATTGATTGGGTTACCTCAGTGGTCATTAGTTTAGTTAACATCTGTTCATCTCATAATCCTTCTGCCTTTGGCCATGCATCAACAATGGCATGACTGTCTCCAAGTGAAAGCAGTGAATATAGGAGCTTGGGTTAGAGAGAGATTGTACTCTGGATGGTTGTTGATTGGTATGAAAAACAAGGAGCATACCAGCCAGAAAGCTAGCTTATGGTTGGCACATCTCTGTTCCTTCATTCTTCCTGAAAATAGTCCAGGGGGGAACTCTCAATGAAACATATAGTTGTTTTCCATTAACTCAGAATTAATACACATAGATATAGAGTAGTGGTGAGCAAACTAATTAATGGAACTTGTTCATTCTAAATATGTATAAATGATAAAAGCTTAAAAATCTGGTACTAAAATAAATTCCAGATATCAATATGGGATGAAGGTGGGAAGATAAATGAGGAGAACAAGTTTACTCAAGTTCTTTTTGGTTAGGGGATGGAATTAAGGAGAAGATACAAATACTGGTTAACTCTACATGGTTGGTAGAATGTAAAATAATGCATGTATGTTAAACATTTAAAGGTAACCAACTTTACAGAAATGGAGTGTGTAGGTTTTAAAACACCTATTTAAAGTATGAAACAAAGAAAAATCAGTCCAATAGAAGGCAGGAATGGGGAAAAATAGAACAACTAGAAAGCACTTTAAATAGAAAACAAATAGGTACCAAAAATAGTTCTAAAGAAATTAGTAGCCCTGGCTGGCGTAGCTCAGTGGATTGAGCACGGGCCTGTGAACCAGAGTATCGCGGTTCGATTCCCAGTCAGGGCACATGCCTGGGTTGCGGGCCAGTTCCCAGCAGGGCACTCATAAGAGGCAACCATACATTAATATTTCTCTCCCAATCTTTCTCCTTCCCTTCCCCTCTCTCAAAAAATAAATAAATAAAATATTTAAAAAAAAAGAAATTAGTAATAATAAAAATGTGACAAAAGTGCTTCAGTGGAATATATAAATGAAATACAGTTATATATTATTAAAACAGAATAGCTTAAACAATTTGACAAATGAAGGCTGAAAATAGAAGGATGGAAAATATACATCAGGCAAAGCAAACAAAACCAAAGCAGATGTAACAGTGCCATATAAAATAGGGTAAAAAAAAACATTAGAAAGGATAAATATATTTCATATCTTTAAAAAATAATTCAAGAAGTCATAATCTTAATGTACCAAATTATAGTTTTGAAATTTATAAAGCAAAAATGGATAGAATTTAAAAGAGACAATTAAATCCATAGTTAAAACAGGTTAACTTTCTCAAAAAAAAGTGCCGAGTTTAGGGGTTGAGTTTGGCTGTATGTGAAACGATAAGACCAAACCATGAAATAATAATGTTAAACAAGACACACATTCATTCTTCTCTTGCCTGCCATTAAATTCTAAAGTGACTCAGGAACACCGATCCGGGGTGATAGCACCATCTCCAGAATTTCATTATTTTTCGGGCTCCATCTATGTTTTCTTTTCCTGCTATCCTTAAATGCTAAGCTTTTGCATCAAGGTCACATAATGGTCAGAAGCTTGACCACTTCAACTTTTTGATGCAGGAAAAAACAGGAGAAAGGCTAGCTGATCCAGTCCCATTTTAAAAGATTTTTCCTGGAAGCTCTTTAAACAATTATGATAATGTTTCATTGTCCAGAACTTACTGATATGGCAACCTCTATCTGGGGAATGGTTGGGAAACATAGGTGGTTTTGTTTTTGTTTTTTAAATCAGAACACAAATGGAGAGTAGATTTTGAATAGTATAGAAAACTGGCAGTTTCTTACATTGGAAAAAAATCAAGTGAGATAAAAAATAAGTAATGATATGCAGAGGTGTCCAACCCTGCATATCTGTGGCATATCTGGGCCACAGTGGAGGAAGAGTTGTCTTGGGCCACACATTAAATACACAAACACTACTGAAAACTGATGAGCAAAGCCCTGGCTGGTGTAGCTCAGTGGATTGAGCGCAGGCCTGCGAATCAAAGCATTGCTGGTTTGATTCCCAGTCAGGGCACATGCCTGGGTTGCAGACCATATCCCCAGTATGGGTTGTGCTAGACGCAACCACACATTGATGTTTCACTTCCTCTCTTTCTCTCTTCCTTCCCCATTTCTCTAAAATAAATAAATAAAATCGTTTTTAAAATAAAGATTTTATTTATTTATCTTTAGAGGGGAAGGGAAGGAGAGAGGGAGAGAAATATCAATGTACGGTTGCCTCTTGAGAACTGGTCTGCAACCCAGGCATGTGCCCTGACTGGGAATCTAACCTGGATCCTCTGGTTCACAGGCCTACGCTCAATCCACTGAGCTACACCAGCCAGGGCAAATGAATAAAATCTTTTTAAAAAAGAAAAAGAAAATACAGACAACTGTAACTGAAAAACAATAAAATTTTTAAAAAACTGATGAACAAAAAAAATGTTTTAAGTAAATTTATGGTTTTGCATTGGGCCACATTCATAGCCATCCTGGGCTGCATGCAGCCTATATATGGATTGGACACACTGAATAATACAGTTAGCAAATTTTGTGTTTAATGTACACAGAATTTAGTTTAATTTTCACTTGCAGTATTCACCAAAATTGACCAATTAACATAACAAAAAGGATAGCTAACTAATTCTAAAAAGTAGGTATCTTCACTTTTCTCAAGGAATGTTATGATGGTTTAGCATTAGAAAATATCTGTCAGTGTGGTTTACTACATTAACAGATTAATAAATGAGCTTAAATAAAGATTTAAAATAAGAAATTTTTAAAAATGTTAGGGAAATCTATACTACTAGGTATCAAAATGTTAATAATGTTAATTTTTTTTACTTTTATTATTGAGATAATTCACATCATAAAGTTCACAGTTTTAAAGAGTAGGATTCTGTGGGTTTTAGTATATTTACGAGACAGTGTAACTATCACCACTGTTTAATTCCAGAACATTTTTATCATCCCAAAACAGTGTGGAACATGAAAAGACAAACTTACTAGCAGACTACATCAAAATAAAAAAACTTCTGTATGACAAAATACACCAACAAAGTTAAAAGACAGTTATGGAATGGGCAGGGGATTGGTATCCAAAATGTATAATATGTAAAGAAATTCATAATAATTCTTACAGATTAATAAAAATGGGCCAAAGATAAGGTAGTTTACAGAAAAGGAAAGACAAAGGGTCATTAACTGCAACAAGATGCCGACTTTAGGCATACAGGGAAATGCAAGTAAGCCAATGAGAGATTGTTTCACCTATCAGTTTTCAGACATCAAAACGTTTGCTAATATCTAGAGGGAATATACTTTGGTACAACTACTTTGGAGGACTGATTCACAGTACTAATTCAAAATAAAAATGCACTTAGTAGCATCACTTCTTCGCATCTATTGTAAACAAATATTTAAAATATTTGTACAAATACTTATACTAGGAGGCATATAGAAACATGTATATTATTTAAAACACATCAAAAGAACACTTACGTTTTAAGGGACAGGTGTTCCTTAAAGGACAAGGTCTTTTTCTATGATCTGAAAGGATGTCAAGATGACAAAATTAACCAGTGGCTGTTAAACAAAAATAAATGAAATAAACTTTTCTATTAAAGGTATTTTCACTTTGGGTCAAATAAGAAAAATCAGGAACTCTTCAAAATCACTGAATCAGAGAGAATTAAAGACTTAAAACAGATGACACAAACATTTCCAAGGCAGTGGTTTAAATATTAATATTAAAATTTAAAGTTAAAATGAAATATTAGCTCTTTACATGTATAAAAATGTTAGTTTCAGGCTTTAATCTTTCAACCTCATGTTTTGCTTTTCTGTGCTCAGTTTGTCAGGTTATAGAGAATAGACACAGATATCAGGTAATCAGTTGAGAAAATGGTAATATTTACTTGATTAGCTATGAAGATGGGATAAAGTATTAAAAGGTTTATCTTAAATGGAGAAATACTACCAAGTGTAGTTATTGTACTTGTAACAAACATCAAATTCCCTGAGAGTTATATCTTTTTTGTTTTCCAGTATTTCATTTAATGCTTTATATGTAGTGGTTTCAGTTAATGTCTGTAAGTTGTTGATAACAATGGTGATGATGACAAGGGTGACAGTGTTCTTGGAGAGCTCTTGAGTAGCCAAGGCAAGCCAAAACATTTCATTGTTTTGTTTTTTTTGTAGCTGTTTCTAATGCCTAATTTCTTTTCTTCAGGTATTTAATGACTCTGCTATGAATATCCATTCAAAATGTTCACATGTTACAGCTATGAAAAGTTCACAGAATTTTATGCAGTTCAGGTAACTTTTAAAACTAAGAAAACAGGATGGGAGTAAAAGTCAGAAAACTGTACTTGAACAGCAATTAAATAAATAAATTTAAAAAAAAACTAAGGAAACAAACTGACAGTGACCAGAGGGGTGAAGGAGGGGGGATAATGATGGAAAGAAGGGGAAAGGGCACGCAAAGGGACATGAATAGAGGACTCATGGGCACGGACAGTGGGGGAGGATTGATTGTGGTAGTGGCGGGGGATGAGGTAGGGGTGAGCAATGGGGAAAAAGTCAGGACAACTATAACCAAACAATAATAAATAAAAATAAGAAAATGCTTTTATTTCTAAAATAGTTTATCAATCAACAAATAATATGAAAATTATTGTGTTTTAGATTGTTAACTCCACAGAAACAATCAAGTTTCAATCAGTGGTTTGATAAAGGAGACACAGGTATTTGTCATTTATATTTTTTTCTAAGACTTGGAAGTAACAAATTATATCAGGTTTTTATACTATTCAAATAAATGATTTTGATTGTTTGCATCTCTGGTTAACTGACCATGCATGCCAACTTTTAAAAATATATAAAGCAAATGTCAAAAATTTGGAAAATATAGAAAAACATAAAAGATACCAAAATAACACCACCCAGACATAAGCAACTGTATACATACCTGTGTATGTTCTTGACTTTTTCTTATGCATATGTATGTTTTGTTCTTTTACATTTCCTCTGCAAATTTGAACCATGCTATGTATATCATTTTGTATCCTTTTCTTCCTGCTTGATATACTGTTGTTGAGGATATTTTTCCATGCCATTCAGTAGAATTTACTTCTAATTACTATATAATATGCCATTGTATGGATATACTATAACTTATTTAGTCATTCTCTCACTTTGAATATTTTGTTGTTCCCAGTTTTATTATCATTAAAATAAGGTTTCTGTATTCTTTTACATAAATCTTTTATCATCTTGGATTATTATCTTGGAATAAAATCATTGGAAGGTCAAAGGGTATATATTAAGTTTATTATCCTAGAAACAACTAGCTGTTGGAATTTTTTAAAAAGATTTTATTTATTTATTTTTAGAGAAGGGAAGGGAGGGAGAAAGAGGGGGAGAAACATCAGTGTGTGGTTGCCTCTTGCACACTCCCTACTGGGGACCTGGGCCACAACCCAGGCAGCATGTGCTCTAGACTGGGAATCGAACCAGCAGCCCTTTGATTTGCAGGCTGGCTCTCAACCACTGAGTCACACCAGCCAGGGTGCTGTTGGAAATTTGACACACTCCTGAAAATGCGAACTCATTCTCTGTCTCTCTTTGTGTGTATATATGTGTATAAATTTTAAATATACATATATATATGCATATTTTGGTAGTCCAGTAACATAATAATTATATATTCCACTCATAGACTATATAAAAGTCTTCACCTCTTCTTCTCTGTAGCATGTGGATTACTGACTTTATTTTGAAGTTTTAAAAATGGCTCATTCTGACAGTATAAAAATGCTATAAATATATACATAATCAGAATGATCATATGCTATTTCTCCCACTCTCAATATAGGATTCAACCAATACAATATGCTTATTTTATGTAGATGGATATCCTTCCTGCTTTCTTCTAGAATGCAGAAATATATCTTGTCTACATAGGTGATCTGTTCCACATATTTGTAATCCTGTATATATGCCAAATAGAGTGTTAGACAAAGAAGGAACAGCTAATCTCTAGAACAGTACATTGCCAATGCACTTATGTGGGGAAATGCATATATCTGGTGTAGTCCTAGCTGCCATTGAGCACTTATGGTGAGGCTTCATACCCAAGAAGGCATATACTTTTCTTAGAAGAAAAAAAGGCTTAATAATTTCCAAGCATTTTTTGAAGAAAGTTTAATAAATTTTGCTATATTAAGACTCAGAATTTATATTGATCAGAAGACACATAAGAAGAATGGAAGCTGTAGATTTTCAGCCAAGATGGTGGCAAGGGTAGATACACTTTGCCTCCTCCCACAAACAGAAGAAGGACAACAAAAAAATTAAAAAACAAGAAACAACCAGAACTGCCACAAAATTGAACTATATGGAAGTCTGACAACCAAGGAGTTAAAGAAGAAATATTCATCCAGACCAGTAGGAGGGGCAGAGACAGGAAGCTGGGGTGGAGAGGACTCATGGCAAGGTGGTGGCTGGAGGCCCAGGATGGGTGAGGCAGTGGTTGGTGGACTGGGCAGTCCCACATTTGCATGCAGATAACCCAGAAGGAACAACTGGGGAGCAAGACAGACCGTGCAACCCAGGGTTCCAGCATGGGGATATAAAGCCTCAAAACCTCTGACTGTAAAAATCTGTGGGGGTTGTGGTGATGGGAGAAACTCCAAGCCTCACAGGAGAGTTCGTTGGAGACACCCACAGGGTCCTAGAACATACACAAACCCACCTACCCAGGAATCAGCACCAGAAGGACCTGATTTGCTTGTGGGTAGTAGGGGAAGTGACAGAGAGACAAGCAAGTGGCATTGTTCCCTCTCGGACCCCTCTCCTACATACAGCACCACAAAAAAGCAATGTGGGTTGCCCCATCCTGGCAAATACCTAAGGCTCCGCCCCTTACTATGTAGCAGGTGTACTGAAACAAAAAAAATGTCTCAAATGAAAGATCAGATCAAAGCTCCCGAAAATAAGTGATGAAGAGATAGCTAACCTATCAGATGAGGAGTTCAAAACACCTGGTAATCAGGATGCTTACAGAAATGGTTGGATATGTTGCAAAATAAAGGAAGAAGTAAAGGCTATGCAAAATGAAATCAAAATGTACAGGGAACCAACAGTGAAGAGAAGGAAACTGGGATTCAAATAAATGATTTGGAGAAGAAGGAAGAAAGAAGCATTTGACTGGAACAAAATGAAGAAACAAGAATTCAAAAAAAATGACAGGCTTAGGAACCTCCAGGACAACTTTAAACTTTCTAATATCTGAATTATAGGGGTGCCAGAAGGAGAAGAGAAAGAAAGTGAAAACTTACTTGAAAAAATAATGAAGGAGAACTTCCCCAGTCTGGCAAAGGAAATACACTTCTAGGAAGTCCAGGAAGCTCAGAGAGTCCCAAAGAAGTTGGACCCAAGGAAGCACACACCAAGGCACATCATAATTATGTTACCCAAGATTAAAGATGAGAGCATCTTAAAAGCAGCAAGAGAAAGGGAGACAGTCACCTACAAAAGAGTTACTATAAGACCGTCAGCTGATTTCTCAAACAAACCCTTGCTGGCAAGAAGGGGCTGCAAAGAAGTAATTGAAGTTGTGAAGTAATTGAAGGGTAAGGACCTATATCCAAGATTACTCTATTCAGCGAAGCAATCATTTGGAATTGAAGGTCAGATAAAGTGCTTCTCATACAAGGTAAAGCTAAAGGAGTTCATCACCACCAAGCTATTACAGGAGATGTTAAAAGGACTTATTTAAAAAAGATCAAAACTATGAACGTTAAAAAGGCAACAAACTCACAATGGTCAACAACTGAACCCCAAAAAAGAAAACCAAAAATGAACTAAGCAACAACTAGAACAGGAACAAAATCACAGAAATGGAGATCACATGGAGGGTTATTAGTGGGGAGGGAGTTAGGGGAAAATGGGGGAAAAGGTACAAGGAATAAGAAGCATAAGTGGTAGGCACAAAATAGGGGAAGTTAAGAATAGTATGGGAAATGGAGAAGCCATAGAACTTACATGTATGACCCATGGACATAAACTAATGTGGGGGAATGCTGGTGCAAGGGGATATGCAGGATGGAGGAGAATAAAGGGCAGAAAAACATAGGACAACTGTAATAGCATAATCAATAAAATATCTTTTTAATATTTTTTCTTTTTTTTAGGAAGATGGAAGGGAGGGAGATAGGGAGAGAAACATCAGTATGTGAGAGAATATTGATCAGGTGCCTGTCATATGCCCCCAACTGGGGACCTGGCCTGCAACCCAGGCATGGTCTCTACTGGGAATCGAACCTGTGACCTTTTGGTTTGCAGGCCAATGCTCAATCCACTGAGCCACACCAACCAGGGCAATAAAATATATATTTTTTAAAAAAGAACGTAAGCTAAGTCACCAAGTCATCAAAAGACACCATAGGGCCCAGGTTGGTGTAGCTCAGTGGATTGAGCTAAGGCCTGCGAACCAGAAAATGGTGGTTGGATTCCCAGTCAGGGCACATGCCTGGTTTGCAGGCCAGTTCTCAGTGGGGGATGCACAAGAGGCAACCATACATTGATATTTCTCTTCCTCTCTCCTTCCCTTCCCCTCTAAAGATAAATAAATAAATAAATACTTATTAAAAAAAGACACTATAAAAAGAATGGAAGGCAAGATGATACAGAACTGTCAGAAGTCTAGTTTCCAAAAATGTGTAAGAATCTTCTACTAACCAAGAAGAAAAAGACAGACAATGCAACTGGAAATATGTCCAAAATACACATACAGGCACTTCAGATAGAGAATCTTTTGTGGAAGGTAAACATCTGAAAAACTGCTAAGCAAATTGGGAAAATAAAACCACAGTGAGATTCATTACATATCCACCATATTAGTACAATTCAGAAAGTCTGATAATACTAAGTGTTGCTGAGAATGTAGGGCAATAGGAATTCTCATCACTATTGGTAGGAACTGCCATTTATAAGTGACCATATATTGAGATCACACCTAAATTATAATTGGAGCTAATAGTTCTGCAAATTGCATGACTGCCTAGGGTAGCTGAGGATGGTCAGTTGCCACAATAAAAATTGGTAAACAGTTTGGAAATTAAACTTTGAAAATAGCTTAACATCTAGTAAAATGGAAGCTACACATACTCTGTACCTTGTAATTCGGCTCCTAGATATATACCTAGAGAAATACAAATACATACATGCAAGTATATAGATAAAAGAATATTTGTAATATCATTGTTTGTAATAGCCTCAAAGCAGAAACACATCAAATGCCCATTTGCAGTAGAATGGATAGATATGTTGTGTTTGGATAATGGGATACTTTACATTGGTAAAAGTAAGCAACTATGTCTGTGCATAGCAATACAGATAAGTCTCACAAGCATATGCTGAACAAAAGATGAAGAGTACATATATTATTTCATTATGTAATATTTTAAAACAGGAAAAGTAAACTAATGCTTAGATGATACAGCAAGAGATAAGGGGACAGTCACTTACAAAGGAGTTCCTATCAGACTGTCAGCAGATTTCTCAAAAGAGACCTTACAGGCAAGAAGGGGCTAGAAAGAAGTATTCCAAGTCATGAAATCCAAGATTGCTCTATCCAGCAAAGCTTTCATTTAGAATGGAAGGGCAGATAAGGTGCTTCTCAGATAAGATCAAATTCAAGGAGTTCATCATCACCAAGCCCCTATTATATGAAATGTTAAAGGGACTTATCTAAGAAAAAGAAGATAAAAAAGATGAACAGTGAAAGGACAACAAACTCACAGTTATTAACAACCACACCTAAAACAAAAACAAAGAGGACAGCTAGACAGGAGCGAACCATAGAAATGAAGATCACATGGAGGGTTAGCAACAGGGGAGTGGGAGAAGGAGAAGGGGGGAGAAGGTACAGAGAATAAGTAGCATAGACAGTAGATAGAAAATAGGGGCCCTGGCTGCTGTAGCTCAGTGGATTGAGCACGGGCCTGCGAACCAGACAGTCGCGGTTCGATTCCCAGTCAGGGCACGTGCCAGGGTTGCAGGCCGGTTCCCTGCAGGCCACTTCCCAGCAGGGGATGCATGAAAGGCAACCATACATTGATGTTTCTCTCCCTCTCTCCTTCCGTTCCCCTCTAAAGATAAATAAATAAAATCTTAAAATTAGGGGGGAGGGTAAGAATAGTAGAGGAAATATAGAATCTAGAGAACTTGAGACACATGGTCATAAACTAAAGGTGGGGAATAGTGGGGAAGGGGTGGAGGGGAATGAAGGGGGGAATAGAACAACTGTAATGGCATAATCAATAAAGTCAAAATTAAAAACAAAAAGCAAATCAAGGAAATGAATATACAGAAGTCAGGATAGTGGTTATATATGAAGAGGAGGAGGATATGAGGAAGTAGGGCCTTTTGGAATATTCATCATTTTCTATTTCTTACCTGGATGATGGTTATATGAGTGTTCTCTTTATAATTTTGTTCCTTAATCTATTCCTGTAGGTTTTATTCTCTTGTCTCTATGTATTAGGTTGAGTTACATGAAATTGCAATTTTGTAGGTAAAAAAACAGTTAAATATTGGCAGGTTCATATGGTCTAACATGTTTTATTTATAATTAAATTACAAAGAGAAAATATAGTTTTTTCTCGTATAACAAACAGATGCTGAGAATGGAGATAAAGGGACAGCAGAACAATTGAAAGAATCAAAATGTACTTCACAAGTAGGTCAAATGTTTAAAATATTGTTTACATTTTTAATTTCAGACTTAGTATAATGAAGATTATTTATGTGAGGTGTAGATGATATTAGCTTAGTAATCAAGTTGTTATGGTGTTACAGAATCAATTCCTTAGAGGAGTTTTAGATTGAAAAAGTTTACATGAAAATTCACAAGAGTTGTTAATAATTAAATATATATAAATATATTATAACAACTAAATCATTACTGAAGAAAATTATTTTGTTTGGTAATATTGAACAATTCAAGACCAGTGGTTACCATAAAAATATCTTCAGAATATTTTTTAAAAATTCAGATCTTTAATGATGATATATGTAAACAGTGTATACCAACTTTTACCATACTGGAGGTTAAAACAGAGAAACAAATTGGCAGTTACCAAATAGTCACAGGGAAGTAAGTAAAGCATAGCAAATATAGTCAATAACATTGTGATAACTATGTATGGTGCCAGTTGGGGTACTGGAAATATTGTGGGAAACACTAGTAAAGTAAATGATTGTCTAACTACTAAGCTATACACTGGAAACCCATACCTAATAAAAAAATAAGTAAAATATTAAATAAATCAAGTGGAACAATGCTGTAATATGTTGCTGTAAAGAAATACAGGTAAAAAGTACATTTAAATTTTTTGGTGGAGTGACCCAAACTGTTTTTATAATGGGATTTGGTGTAACAAACATATTTTAGAAATCAGAATACAAAATAATATAAAGGAAAATTGGTTATCTGAGTTCTCAATTGTTGCAGAAAAAGTAGTATAATGCGTATATAGGGACAAAAAAATGCCAAGAACATGACCAATGAGCAAGATTGTTTAGAACTAAATTACTTCTCCCTTTTAAGAAAGTAGCATGTACAATTCTTAAATAAGAGCATGATGTGGAAATTATTCCTGACTATAGTTCTTCTGGTTATTGTTTATTTTTTCAGGTAGGAGCAGGAGAGGTGGAGCTAGAAAAAAAAGAAAAATTGGAAATTAAATTATTTTCCTTTTTTTTTGACAGATATATTTTAGTATCACTTTTACCAACTATTCTTATTTTACCTACTTCTCCTATGAAATGATAACATCATACCTTAATATGGTACTTTCCACATCACACATTTCTGTGTATGTGAATTTATTAATGCAGTAACATTCATTTTTTATAGTTTCTGTTACTTTGAATTTGCAGGTGATACATGAAGAACATTTTGGGAAGCCAATAGATAATAAAGATGAAGTAGAAGAAGGGGCTGAGAATTTTTCACGAACTCCTGAAATTCCTTTATTTTTAAGAACTCCTGAAGCTGTGAAAACACCTGAATCTTTGGAGAAATTGCTGTTCCCTAAAACCCCTCCATTTGAAATGTAGGATTTTAATTAATTATTATAATGAAAGAATATCTGTATTGAGTTATATAAATAATTGATAGGAATAATAAAATGCCTAGTACATTTAAAAAGGTTTTATTATGAAATATTTCATATATACAAAGTAGTAGATACTAGTATAATGAGCCTATGTACCTACCCTATTTGAACAATTATTGTTAGCATTCTGCCATTCTTGTTTCATGTATCATCTTCCCCTCTTTTCCTACAACATAGTTGAAGATGGTATAAACCCCTAGTACTTACTTAGTGCAATAATCCATGTGTATTTAAGATTTTCCAAAGGATAAAAAAAACTACAGAAAAAATTTAAATGCTAAGCTCAAAAGCTACTATCCCATGTGGTAGATTATGGACATCATTGAATAATATTTTAGCAGTCATTTTTCTTTCCATTGTAGTGTCTAAAGCAAGAATTGCTTTTCTATTAAGTAACTTAAGTAGGCATAAATATCTCTAAAATGAGTATTTAACTTTCGAAACCACAGATTTGTAGTTTGCAGCCAAGAAAATAATTCTGCATTTTGACCCTTTTGTTTAGTTCATTCACTCCATTTCTTGATGCTAGCCCCTGAGATTTCTCTAAATCATGTCAAACAGATTTTACTTCATCAGGAATCTCTCATCTGTGTTCTACTGTGATATGTTAAATTGCTAGTAAGAGTTTTATATATATGAATGTAATGCTGTTGACTTAAACACAGCATGTTCAAAGTGGAACTCATCATTAATCTGAGAAGTGTAAAAGAATGTGGCAGTCACCAGTCATATGCTAAATCCTCTTTATATGACCTTGGACACTGATGGTCATAGAGGTAGTTAGGGAAGTTATCTTCAAACTTCTGTGATATTTAACAAACAATAGCACTGTGTCTATGAATTTGTAAATATTGCTCATTGCTCATTTAAGATTCACAACAGAGGCATGTCAAGGCAAAAAAAATAATGGCCCAAAGGAAAGAACATATCAAAGCTCCAGAAAAAATACAACTAAGTGATGAAGCGATAGCCGATCTATCAGATGCACAGTTCAAAACACTGGTAATCAGGATGCTCACAGAATTGGTTGATTTTAGCCACAAATTAGATGAAAAAATGAAGGTTATGCGAAGTGAAAAGAAGGGAAATGCACAGGGAACCAATAGTGATGGGAAGGAAACTGGGACTCAAATCAGTGATGTGGACCAGAAGGAAGAAAGAAAGATCCAAGCAAAAAAGAATGAAGAAACAATTTTTAAAAACGAGGAGAGGCTTAGGAACCTCCAGGACATCTTTAAACATTCCAACATCTGAATTATAGGGGTAGCAGAAGGAGGAGAGGAAGAGCAACAAGTAGAAACATTATTTGAATAAATAATAAAAGAGAACTTCCAATCTGGCAAAGAAAATAGCCTTCCAGGAAGTCCAGGAAGCTCAGAGAGTCCCAAAGAAGGTGGATCTAAGGAGGAACACACCGAGGCACATCATAATTATATTAGCCAAGATTAAAATGAAGGAGAGAATCCTAGAATCAGCAAGAGATAGGGGGACAGTAACCTACAAAGGAGTTCCCTTAAGACTATCAGCTGATTTCTCAAAACAGACCTTACAGGCAAAAAGGTGCTGGAAAGAAGTATTCCAAGTCATGAAAACCAAAAACCCACAACCAAGATTGCTCTATCCAGCAAAGCTTTCATTTCGAATGGAAGGGCAGATAAAGTGCTTCTCAGATAAAGTCAAGTTCAAGGAGTTCATCATCACCAAGCCCTTATATAAAATATTAAAGGGACTTATGTAAGAAAAAGAAGATAAAAAACATGTACAGTAAAATGACAGCAAACTCAATTATTAACAGCCACATCTAAAACAAGCAAACTAAGCACTAGAACAGGAACAGAACCACAGAAATGGAGGGTTATCAAGAGGGGAGTGGGAGAGGGAGAGAGAGGGAAAAGATACAGAGAATAAGCATAGATTGTAGGTAGAAAATAAGACGAGAGGGTGAGAATAGTATGGGAAATGTAGAAGCTGAAGAACTTACAAGTATGACATGTGGAAGGGAATGTAGGTGGGAGGGGGTGTGCACAGTAGAGGGGAGTGAAGTGGGGAAAATAGGACAACTGTAATAGCTTAATCAATAAAATACATTAAAAAAGATTCACAATAACTTCATGAGATATAAATACCTTACAGTTCTTATAGATGAGGAAACAGAATTATAGATGGTACATCTCAGTGTTAAGAGTTGAGATCAAACCCAGGCAGTTTTACCTCCAGAATCCATGTTTTTAACCAATGTTATATACTATCTTGTCTAATTATTTTCCCAAATAATTTTATTTTTAACTCCCTATGCAACAATCTGTAATGACTTGCTTCTCATCGAGATTAAAATTTTGTGACTGGCTTTCAAGACCCTTAGAATCAGGTCTAAGAGTCTGGACTTTGAATCTGGATTGCAGCATTCAAATTCCAACTCTGGCATTACATTCTTTTGAGCAAATCATTTAACCTTTCTAGGCATCAAAATCATCTTTTATAAAATCAAAGTGATAATGATAGCACCTGTTTCATAGGATTTATTTCAATGAATAAAGTTGGTGATGAGTGGAAATACCTAGAATAGATCCTGATAGTAGTCTTAGTAGGAATTATTATCACTTCATAACTGATTATTCTACTTTAATATTCACCTAAACCATCTTTTTCTTTATAGGTTTGTCACTACAATCCCTTTCCCTACTATGAAAGGGAGGAGCTGTTTTCTCACTTTCCCTACTATGTCAGTTCTCACCTCTGTGCCAGCAATTTTCAACCTGTGTGTTGCAAGAATTCTTAAAACATGCAGTACCTGACTATTAGTCAGGGACACTGACCTTTTTTCCCCTGAGGTTTTCAAATAAAAAAAATGACAATGGCCAGCACAACAATAGCCATCTGGGGTCAATGAATCAAAATGTTACCTATTTTTTGTCACTTTAGCAAAAAACATATTTTTGGTATGCCGAATTTCAGTGATTATGTGTGCCATCAGATGAAGAAGGTTGAAAATCACTGCTTTATTTCATTTCTTGTGGTACTTACCAGTCTGTAATATTTAGTGATATATGCTTAACATTTTGGTGATTTCTTATTTATTTGTAACAGAAACAGAAATATAGTGCCTGAAGATCAGATACAAAAGGAATCCCCTGGGACTTCTTTTCTTATGAGTTATACTTCTAGATCACCTGGATTGAATTTATTTGATTCTTCTATATTTAATTCAGAAATCTCATCAGATAAGGTAATATGAGCAGCTGAAGTTTTATTTCTAAAAGATTGGACACTTAGAACCTCAAGTAATTTTAAATCTTCAGTACCAAACTATCTTGTGGCAGAGGCGATTTTTTTAAAATTCTGAATATTGATGTTATAGCTAAGTTTACCCGTTATCTTATTGTTTTCAACTTCAGGTGTCCCAAGTTGACATGTATAAAAAAAGAATCTCAGGATAGGAATGATTTGAATTGCAGTTAAAGGGAGTTTAAAAATTAATTTGGCTTTATAGTTCATATATTTTAAGTTCTAAACAGTTTTCCATATTCTTAGTATAAAAACTCCAGGTTATTAGTTGTTTTTTTTCATCTACATATGTGGTATATGGCAACGTTATCATTGGTTATCTTTAAAAGACCTGAAGAGTATCTGTCAAATAGTAATTTCTCTCGTTCAGTGGTAGAAATTATGATAAAGTACTTATTTCTGTATTTAGCAGTTGAAACAAAAAATTAAGAATATTTGATTAGGCCCTGGCTGTTGTGGCTCAGTGGATTGAGCTCCAGTCTGTTAACCAGAGGGTCACTATTTGATTCCCAGTGAGGGCACATGCCTGGGTTGTGGACCAGGTCCCCAGTATGGGGTGTGCAGGAGGCAGCCACGCATTGATGTTTCTCTCTCCTTCTCCCTCCCTTCCCCTTGCTCTAAACATAAACACAATCTTTTTTTTAAAAAATAATATTTAATTAGTAAAGATAGCATAGCGCAGTGGCTAAGACTATATTCTGCAGCTAGACTACTTGGGTGTATACTGGATGTGGGATTTTAGGTATGTAATTTGTTTTTTATCTGTAAAATGGAAATAATAATTTTTACCATAGGGTTTATCAATATCAAATGGGTTTATGTATATAAAACACTTAGAAAAGTTCTAACCACTTAATGCTATAAGTAACAATGTAATATAAATATTATTGCTCATTTAAGTTAGTCACAGTTAACTGAATTTATATAGAATAGAATATTCGATTCCTATATCTATCACATAATGTTAAATTGTTGAAATTATAAATTTATTGATGATATGGTATAATTATACATTTTGTAGTTTATATCTTCAACTTTTATCTAAGTTTTTATCTAAATGCTTATTTCAAAAGCAGGTAATTCCTAGAATGTACATACTGACCATGAAAAAATAGACTACACTTAATTTTGACTTACAATAATAATATAAATGCAAAATAAACTAATGTAACCTTAGCAGGAAACATGTACATTTGGATGAAGAAAAAAATTATTGAAAAAAGTAATTGAATATATCAAAATATATATGAAATACCTATATAGGAAGAAAATATTGTAAATATATATTTCATCCTAAAATAATTTGTAAATGTAATTCAATTCTAATTGGAGTCTTGGCAAGCTGGTTTATCTTTAAATTTTTTTGTTTTGATTTTGTAGTGGTGGGGTTAGGGAATGCAATTGGCAAATAATTGCTAAGTTTTCTGGTCAAGAATAATAAAATGTTCAAAAATAAGATTGGTAATAAATTAAAATGGAATTCCAAGAAAACATTTAACCCAAAAGAAAGTAGAGAAGGAATAGCATAACAAGATACATAGGGAACAAACAGAAAACAAATAGTAAAATATTTGATGAAAATATGAATTTTAATATCATTATATTCATTATAAATGGACTAAACATTGTTAAAAGGCAGAGATTATAACAATGGATAAAAAGCTTGACCCAAATATAAGAAATATATAAGATAATACTTTAAATATGAAGACAAAGACAGGGTGAAAGTAAGTGGATGGAAAAAGATATAACATGAAAACTGTAAGCAAAGGAAAGTTACAATTGCTGTACTATTAACATTTTAGATAATCTTCAAGACAAAGAATATTGACAGAGACATAGGCATTTCATAAGGATAAAAGGATCGATTCTTACAGCAGATATAACATTGACAAATGTGTACATGCCTAATAGCAGATTCAAAATACAGAACAAAAATTAACAGAATTAAGGAAGAAATACACAAAACACAAACTTGGTTGGAGATTTTTAACATCCCCTCTCAGCAATTGCGAGAATTAGACAACAGTCAATATATAGCTTTAATAAAAGGCTGAACAACACCATTGACCCAATTAACTTAAATTTATAGACCATCATATCCAGCAATTGCAGCATATATATATTCTTTTCAAGTGTTGATGGTGCATTCGATAAGACATATTATAATCTGGGCCATAAGTCTTTAATAAATTTATTTACTTTTTTGTTTTAAAAATTTTACTCTTGTTTGAATACAGTTATCTGCGTTTTCCCCCACCTCTCCCCACTACTCCAGCCATCCCCACCTCCCTCCCCTAATTCCACCTCCCCTTGGTTAGTCCATGTCTTTTATAGTTGTTCCTGAAAACCCTTCACCCTTTTTCCCCTTTTTGCCCCTCCCATCTTCCTTCTGGTTACTGTCTGTTCATAATTTCAATGTCTCTCATTATATTTTGCTTGCTTGTTTTTTTTTTTATTAGGTTCCACTTAAAGGTGAGATCATATGGTATTTGTCTTTCACCACTTGGCTTTTTCACTTAGCATAATGCTTTCTCCAGTTCCATCCATGCTGTGCAAGGGGTAGGATCTCCTTCTTTCTTTCTGTTGCATAGTATTCCATTGTGTAAATGTACCATATTTCTTTGATCCATTCATTTACTGATGGGCACTTAGGTTGCTTCCAGCACTTGGCTATTGTAAATTGTGCTGCTATGAACATTGGGGTGCATAGGTTCTTTTGGATTGGTGTTTCAGAGTTCTTAGGATATAATCCTAGCTGTGGAATTGCTGGATCAAAAGGCAGTTCCATTTTTGGTTTTCTGAGGAAATTCCATACTGTTTTCCATAGTGGCTGCACCAGTTTGCATTCCCACCAACAGTGTACTAGGATTCCCTTTTCTCCACACCCTCTCCTACACTTGTTGTTTATTTGTTTATGATGGCCATTCTGACTGGTGTGAAGTGGTATGTCATTGTGGTTTTAATTTGCATCTCTCTGATGGCTAGCAATGCCGAGCATCTTTTCATCTGTGTCTGGACCCTCTTTATATCCTCCATGGAGTGGAGTCATGTGAGTTCTTTGTATATATTGAAGATGAAACTGTATTACAAGGCCACTGTAATACAGTGGTACTGTATATAGTACCAAAATAGCCTGGTACTGGCATAAGAACAAGCACATAGACCAGTGGAACAAAATAGAGAGCCCAGAAATAAGCCCAAGTCTCTGTGGTCAATTAATATTTGAGAAAGGGGGCAGCAGCATAAAATGGAGTAAAAACAGCCTCTTCAACAAATGGTGTTGGGAGAGCTGGATAGCTACATGCAAAAAAATGAAACTTGATCACCAACTTATAGCATACACGAAAATAAATTTGAGGTGGATAAAAGACTTAAATACGAGTCACGACACCATAAAAGTCCTTCAGGAGAACATAGGCAGGAAAATCTCAGATATTCCATGCAGCAGTATTTTCACTGATATGTTCTCTAGAGCAAAGGACATAAAAACAAACGGGATCTCATTAGAATAAAAAAGCTTCTGCATGGCTAAACAAAACAGCATTGAAATGAAAAGAGAACCAACCATATGGGAAAACACAGTCTCTAGTGAATTTACAAGGAAACAGAGAGAGTATATTCTCAGACCACAGTAGAGTTAAATTAGAGATAAGTAGCAAGGTATTAGAAAAATCCCAAATATTTAGGTTATGGATCAAAGAAAAAATCATGAGAGAAATTAGAACAAATTTGAAATGAGTGATTGTAAACACTTAGCATATAAAAATTGTAGAATGTTACCGCGACCAGAGCAATAATTATTTAAATTATTAAGTAATTAATAATTTAAGTTATTAAATTAACAGAAAAAGAACAGAGGTCTAAAGTTAGTGACCTAAGGTTCCACCTTGAAAAGCTAGAAAAAGGAACAAAGTAAAACTAAAGTAAATAGAATGAAAAATAAGAAATGAGAAAAATCAATGAACTAGAACACAAATAGAGAAAATTAACAAAGCCAAAGTTTTATTTTATTTCATTTTTTTAATTTAATTTTTTTAAAGATTTTATTTATTTATCTTTAGAGGGAAGGGAAGGAGAGAGGGAGAGAAACATCAATGTATGGTTGCCTTTCGTGCATCCCTTGCTGGGAACTGGCCTGCAGGGAACCGGCCTGCAACCCAGGCATGTGCCCTGACTGGGAATTGAACCATGATCGTGTGGTTCGCAGGCCCGCACTCAATCCACTGAGCTACACCAGCCAGGGCTTAAATTTAATTTTTAAGTATATTTTATTACGTTGTTTTTCTCCTTTGCCCCCTTCCACTAGGTACCCCCTTCCTTTCAACAGTCCCCCCACCCCTTAGTCCATGACCATGGATCATGTAAGTAAGTTCTTTGGCTTCTCCATTTCCTATGCTATTCGTAACTTCCCCCTGTCTATTTTGTTCTTACCAATTATGCTTCTTAACCCCTGCAGCATGTCTCCATTCTTCCCCTAGTCCTCCCAGCTGATCTCCATATCTATGAGTCTGTTCATGTTCTGGTTGTTTGCTTAGTTGTTTTGTTTTTGTTTTTTTAGATTCACTTGTTGATAGTTGTGGATTTGTTGCCTTTTTAATGTTCATAGTTTTGATCTTTTTCTTAAGTCCTTTTAACATTGTCTGTAATAATAGCTCAGTGGTGATTAACTTATTTAGCTTTACCTTGTCTGAGAAGCACTTTATCTGCTCTTTAATTCCAAATGATAGCTTTGCTGGATTGAGTAATCTAGGTTGTAAATCCTTGCTTTTCAACACTTTGAATATTTCTTTCCAGCCCCTTCTTGCCAGCAAGGATTCATTTGAAAAATAGCTGATAGTCTTATGGGAACTCCTTTGTTAGTAACCATCTGCTTTTCTCTTACTGCTTTTAAGATTCTCTCTTTATTTTTAACCTTTGGCATTTTAATTATGATGTGTCTTGGTGTGGTCCTCTTTGAGTGCAACTTGTGTGGGAATGTCTATGCTTCCTGGGCTTGTATGTCTATTTCCTTTGCCAAATTAGGGAAGTTTTATTTCATTGTTTTTTCAAATAAGTTTTAAATTTCTTGTTATTTCTGTTCTCCTTCTGACATCCCTATGATTCGAATTTTGAAATGTTTGGAGATACCTCCCAGAGGTTCCTAAGGCTATCCCTAAGTTGTTGTTTTTTTTTAAATTCTTGTTTCTTCTTTTTGCTCTGACTGAATGTTTATCTCTTCCTTATGTTCCAAATCATTGGTTTGAGTTCTGGCTTCCTTCCCTTCTCTGTTGGTGTCCTGTGAATTATTCTTTATTTCACTTAGTGTAACCTTCATTTCTTCCTTTATTTTTTTGCATACTTAAGGAGTTCTCTAAGCATCCTGATAACCAGTGTTTTGTACTCTACATCTGATAGATTGGCTGTCTCTGTTTTGCTTAGTTCTTTTTCTGCAGTTTCATTCTGTTCTTTCATTTGGGCCATATTTCTTTGTCTCTTCAATTTAGCAGTCTCCCTGTGTTTTTTTCTGTATATTAGGTAGAGTTGCTTTCACTCCCTCTCTTAATAGCATGACCTATGTAGAAAAGGCACCTGTAAATTACGTGTAGTGGAACCTTAGGTAATTGCCAGGATGGGGCAACCCACTTCATTTCTTTGTGGCTGTGTGGGGAGGGCTCAGAAGGGGGACAGTGCCACCAGCTGGCTTCTGGTGGTTTGCCCAGCACTCACCCCATTTCCAGTAACTTCACTCTCTTCCCTTGTGCTACTGGAACCCTTTCAGCTGCTGCCCCATTGGTGAATCCTGGAGTGGATGGGTTTATGTACATTCTGAGATGATGCTCGTCCTTTAAACAGTGAAAATCTGGCAGTTTCTTCTGCTATCCCAACCTCTACGGGTGTTTACAGCCTGGTGCCAGAACCCTAGAATATGCAGTCTGCCCTGTAGCTGGGATTGCTCACTCCCCAGGTATGCCTCCTGTCCATTCTGCCACCACCTTTCCCTGCCACACCACCTCTCCACTGTCTCTGTGACTCAGCCCCTCGTACTTGTCTGGATGCATGTGTCTTCTTTAAATTCTTAGTTGTCAAACTTCCATATAGCTCAATTTTCTGATAGCTCTACTGGTTTTGAGATGTAGTTGTAAGTCTTTCTGTGGTTGTGTGAGGAGGCGTAGTGTCTACCTGCACCACCATCTTGACCAGAAGTCCCCTGATTCTTTCTTTTTTATATGCACCTCAGGACATGCTTACTGATTTTAGAGAGTGGAGAAAACAGGGAGAGAAAGAAAAAGAAACCTCAATGTGAGAGTGAAACATTGAAACATCGATCAGTATATGCTCAGTCTTGGGGACTGAACCTGCAACCCAGACATGTGCCCTGATCAGGTATCAAACCTGCAACCCTTCAGTTTACTGGCCAAATCTCTAACCAAGTGAGCCACACCAGCTAGGGCCCGAAGTTGGTTGTTTGAAAAATATTAACAAAATGTACACACTCCTTATTAGACTGACAGAGAAGACAATTACCTACATTAGAAATGAAAATGAGAATACCCTAATAATAAGAGAATAACATGAAATAGAATACTGGTGGGGAGTAACTTCACTTTTTATATAATAAAATTCCTATAGCCCTGGCTGGTGTAGCTCAGTGGACTGAGCACGGGCCTGTGAACCAAAAGATCACGGTTCGATTCCCCATCAGGGCACATGCCTGGGTTGCAGGCCAGTTCCCAGCAGGGGATGCACCAGAAGCAACCATACATTGATGTTTCTCTCCTTTTGTCCTTCTCTTCCCTACTAAAGATAAATAAATTAAATTAAAAAAATTTCTATAAACCTAGAACAATAAAAATAGTGTGATAATGGTACAGGGATTGATAGATTGATCAATGGTATAGGATAGAAAATTATGAAACAAAGAAATTTACAATGTGATAAATATAGGATCACAAAACAGTAGGGATAAATTGAGTGTTCATTTTACTCTGTACAGCAGTGGAAGTTATAGATGTGTTAAATAAAAGAATGTTTTACCCATAGAATTTTCAGAGGAAATAGAGGTATTTACCAGATCTTAAGAGGAAGGATTCTCTAAGTACAAAAACAATGGAAGAAGAGCCAAAAGGAAGTTTTTAAAGTTTGAGTTTGGTTACATACAAGTTTTCATATGGTAAAAAATTTAAAGGCAAAATGAAAATGTAATATTAAATATTTGCAGTAGTATGACAAAGGATTCATATTTAATATGTAAAGAGCTTATATGTACCAATGAGAAAAATTGCTGCCTCTATAGAGATGTGGACAGAGTTCATATAGTGAATAGATGATTCATGAAAATAAATTCAAATAATTTATAGAATCTCTGGGGAAAAAATAGCTTTTCCCAGCTATTTGTCAAAAAAATGTAAATAAAGAAATTGTCAAAGAAAGGTAAATAAATCTGTGCAAACAGTATTCATGTGTGCTTTGTATTAGAGAAAGAAATAGAAATAACTTAAACATCCAAAATAAAAGAATGGTTGAAACTGTACTGTATGTCAATATGAAGGAATATTAAAATACCATGAAAAGAATCAGATTTTGGAAAAATATGACATAAAAATTCTCATAAGATAAAAAACAGAAAATTGTGTTGTCATGATTCCAATGAGCTTTGGTAGCAAAATTTGATCTGAAGTGACATGAGGTTATCATACTACTTTTTAAAAAAGATTTTATTTATTTATTTTTAGACAGAGGGGAAGGGAAGGAGAAAGAGAGGGAGAGAAACATCAATGCATGGTTTCCTGTCATGTGCCCTCCACTGGGGACCTGGCCCACAGCCTAGGCATGTGCCCTGACTGGGAATCAAACCAGTGACTCTTTGTTTTGCAGGCCACACTCAATCCACTGAGCTACACCAGCCAGGGCATTTCTTATTACTTTTTTTTTTTTTTTTTTTTACTTTACTCACGGGGATTTTATTGCCTAGTCCGTTTATGGCACCTTTCATCTGAAAGTTTTTTTTTTTAATATTAAATTTTATTTAGTTACTTTTCAAGTACATTTTTTTAATCTATTTCTCCAAAGCATTATGCTGAGTGAAATAGGCCAGGCATTGAAGGACAAATACCATATGATCTTATTACTTTTATAGGTAGGAAAACAATACCAAGAACCTGATTTGTAAAAAGCTTTGAGAATAAAGCAAAAGTTGATTAGAATTTTAGGTTATATTATTCCAAAGTAGGAACTTCCTTTGCAAAATATATGTTACCTAGTAATATTTTATCCATTGCTAGAATCAGTTCAATATGCCTTATTTTAATATAAGTGAATGATAGGTTTTGAAGATAGATCTTTTTTTTAAGTATAGTAGTATGCTATATAGAATGTTGCCATTTTGTCTACTGTAATTATGCTTATTAGAAGAACCAGGCTTTAGATTAAAATAAAAATGCTGTGTATAATGATCTACTGATTTTATGAGTAATGTTGACTGGAAATTATTTTTCAGTTTAATGAACACTGTTCTGCAGGAAATTTAAATCCTCTTTCATTACAACAAGAAGTTGGTAAGTGACTGGTAGTTTGCATCTATATTCATGAGGGATATTAGTTTGTACTTTGCTTTTCTGGTAGTGTCCTTTTCTGGCTTTGGTATCAAGGTAATACTGACCTTATAAAATGAATTTTGGGGTATTCTCTCCTCTTTGATTTTTTAAAAGAGTTCAACAGGATTGGCGTTAATTCATGTTTAAATGTTTGGTAAAACTTACCAGTGAAGTCATCTGACCTTATTTCTGATTGTGTTATTAATGTTTCTTTACAGATTTCTGTTGACATTAGAAACTCATTATATTTTTAATTACTTTATTGTTGTTCATTTACAGTTGTCTTTATTTTATCCCCACCCCACCCCACCTCAGCGAAACCCACCTTCCTCCCTTGATTCCACCCTCCCCCTTGGTTTTGTCCATGTGTCCTTTATAGCAGTTCCTGAAACCCTCCCCCCATTGTCCCCTCCCCACTTCCCTCTGAGTATTGTTAGATTATTCTTAATTTCAATGTCTCTGGTTATATTTTGTTCATTTTTTTCTTTTGTTGATTATGTTCCAGTTAAAGGTGAGATCATATGGCATTTGTCCCTTACCACCTGACTTATTTCACTTAGAATAATGCTCTCCAGTTCCATCCATGCTGTCAAAAAAGGGTGTAAGCTCCTTCTTTCTCTCTGCTCCGTAGAATTCCATTGTGTAAATGTATACAATGTTTTCCTGTGTTCCATTACAATGTACACTATTTTCCATAGTTTTTTGATCCACTCATTTGCTGATGGGCACTTAGTTGCTTCTAGCATTTGGCTATTGTAAATTGTGCTGCTGTGAACATTGGGGTGCATGGGTTCTTTTGGATTGGTGTTTCAGGGTTCTTAGGGTATAATCCCAGCAGCACAATTGCTGGGTCAAAAGGCAGTTCCATTTTTGGTTTTCTGAGGAAATTCCATACTGTTTTCCACAGTGGCTGTGCCACTCTGCATTCCCACCAATAGTGCACTAGGGTTCCCTTTTCTCCGAATCCTCTCCAATACTTGTTTGTTGATTTGTTTATGATGGCCATTCTTACTGGTGTGAGGTGGTATGTCATTGTGGTTTTAATTTACATCTCTCTGATGGCTAGTGATGCTGAGCATCTTCTCGTATGTCTCTGGGCCCTCTGTATGTCCTCCTTGAAGAAGTGTGTGTTCAAGTCTTTTGCCCGTTTTTTAATATATATTTTTTGTCTTTCTGGAGTGGAGTCGTGTGATTTCCTTATATATTTTGGAGATCAAACCCTTGTCCGAGGTATCATTGGCAAATATGTTTTCCCATATAATTGGTTCTCTTTTCATTTCAATGTTGTTTTCTTTATCCGTGTACAAGCTTTTTAATTTGATGTTTATTCTTTCCCATTTGTTTATTCTTTCCTTTATGTCCCTTGCTTTAGGGGAGATATCCATAAAGATGCTGTGTGGAATGTCTGAGATTTTCCTGCCAATGTTTTTCCTCTAGGACTTCTGTGGTGTTATGACTCATATTTAAGTTTTTTAACCACCTTGAATTTATTTTGGTGTATGGTGTAAGTTGGTGATCAAGTTTCATTTTTTTGCATGTAGCTGTCCAGCTCTCCCAACACCATTTGTTAAAGAGGCTATTTTTACTCCATTTTATGCTGCTGCCCCCTTTCTCAAATATTAATTGACCACAGAAACTTGGGCTTATTTCTAGACTCTCTATTCTGTTCCATTGGTCTATGCGCTTGTTCTTATTCCAGTACCAGGCTGTTTTGATTACAGTGGCCTTGTAATACAGTTTGATGTCAGTTATTGTGATCCCTCCTGCTTTGTTCTTCTTTCTCAAGATTGCTGCAGTTTTTCAAGGTTGTTTATGGTTCCATATGAATTTCTGAAATTTTTGTTCCATATCTGTGAAATATGTCATTGGTACTTTAATATGGATTGCATCGAATCTATAGAAACTCATTATATTTGATAAGTGAAACAAACCAGAGAAAGACAGATACCATATGATTTCACCTATATATGAAATCTAAGAAACAAAATAAAGGAACAAACAAAACAAATGCATAAATACAGAGAACAAACTGATGGTTGCCAGATGGAAGGAGGGTTGGGGGCCTAAGTGAAAAAGGTGAAGGGAGTAAGAAATATAAATCGGGAGTTACAAAACAGTCACAGGGATGTAAAAGTACAACAGAGGGAATAGTCAGGCTATTGTAATAACTACAAATGGTCTCAGGCAAGTGCAAGACTTACCAGGATGATCACTTTCTAAGTTATATAAATGTCTCACTGCTATGCTGAACACCTGAAACTGATACAATATTGAATGCCAACTATAATTGAAAGAAATTTTTAAATAAAACAAAGTAAACAAAAAAACCTTCAGCATATCTAAAATCGAACCTGTTCTTTTTCTGATGTGCCATTCATTATTGTAGTTTCCAAGACTTAGAACACCAGTGATAATTTTAACTTCTGTCTGTGGCTATATTCAGCTGGTCATCAAGCTTCGTTAATTCTCTCTGAAATATTTATTTTCATTCTTTTCTAGTTTCATTGAAATCATATTTCAAACTCATTACCATTCACTTGGGCTGTTGCAGTAACATTGTAGTTAGTCTTTTCATCCTTTCACCTTATCTGTAGATCACAGTCAAATTAATCTTCTATATGCATAGTGTTGACCACCCCACTTCTGTAGTTAAATATTTAGCTACTCTCCATGGTGTATCAAATTATGCTCTTCTTTTTTAACCTATCCAAAATACCATTTAAGCCTTTCTCTTGTAAGAGTAATCTGTGCTTTGTCCAGACTGAAGAACTCATTGCAAACCAAATATGTTTGCACTTTCTTCTTCCTGATATCCTCCTCAACTTCATCTCTCTCTAAACATATTTTCAAGAGCAAGTTCTCTTCCATAAAAACTTTTATTTTCCCTTTCAACCTTCTATTCCAAAAAGATCTCTCCTTCATTTTTCTGAACATTTCTTTTTAAAATACTTTTTTACATTCTACCACCTGAAATTATTTATCAATGTCTGTCTGGAAAAAGTCTGGCCATTGTTAGTACAATGAAAATGGTTCGCATGACATCAATGTAACTGGCAGCCAAGGAGAGTGGACTGAAATGTGCATGCCTAACAATGACAACTTCACTGTACCAGTCAGTAGAGATGGTAGATGCCATAGAGTGAGCATGTGTACTGTGTGGCCATCACATTCAAGTAGAGCAAGTAGAGCAACAATTCTGCATCAGATTTTGCATTGAGCTTGAACATTCCTCCCTGAAAACTATTCTGATGATTCAGAAGGCTTTTGGGGACAGTGCAAGGAGTGCAGCATAAATAAAAGTATAGCACAGATGCTTCAAAGATGGTCAAGAATCTTTTGAAAGTGATCCACGTTCTGAAAGGCCTGCAACAAGCAGAACATCTGAGAACATTGAATATGTATGGGCTGCAATTAACAAAGATCAGTGACCAACAGTGTGAGAACTAGAAGCTGATCTGCGGATTCCAGTAACTGCTGTGCCTGAGATTTTGATGCAGGATCTTGGCATGAAAGGTGTTGTGGCAAAATTCATTCCACGGCTTCTGCTGCCAGAGCAGAAGGAACATTATGCTGCAGTTGCTAATGACATGATTCAAATGGCCAACAGTGATGCTAGGAGAACTGTTTAAGGTCCCAAAGTGCATACTTTCAGGGGGACTGAGGTGTCCTACGTACAATGTTTCTTGTATATTCTTCAAGAAATGCCTCTATTTGTCACATTACATGGCTGGACACTTTCTGGACAGACCTTATGTATAAAATCTCTTCTAACCACAGGTTATTTAAAGTCATGTGTAGTGAAGTCAATGGAAAAATAAAGTGAGAAAGGGAGAAGGGAAGTACTCAAGTATCTGTAATCAACCCATCCATGAAACCACCCTACTGTTGGTTGGCTCAGATTTATTTAGGGTGAAATAGCAGATGTTTCTATATGAAATTTGTAATGGGTATAAAGTAAATTGTTTTGCTTAATGTACTCATTGAATTGGTTCCCTATGGGAAAATATAGGTGCTTTAAAAGACTTGTTTCAAGTATTTAGATGACTGTATATTTTAAATTAACAATTAAAATTATACTTAAGATGTTGAAAATATACTATAGTCATAAATAATAAAATTAATGAAAAATAATAGCTTTCCTTAACAATTCTGGGAGTCATGAACCAAAAAATTTTTTATGTAAAATTGATTTTAAAATTCCTTTTAAAACTCTAGCACCCCTTTTACTGTTCTGTCAAATTCTTAGAACAATGTCATGAACAGTAATTGTAGCTACTCATAAATAATAGTTGAATAAGTTTGACTTATGCAGTGTCTCTCAGATCCACCATTTCCTCATTCCCTTTGCTGTGACTTTAGGTAAGTCCAGGATTTCATCATCTGTTTTCTGTCAGTCTTTCTTCTAGACACTCTCCTGTTCTAGGCTTTTTGCACATTCTCTTCTCTTTTTTTTAAAATTAATTTTATTTAGTTATTTTTCAAGTATAGTTTTTTGTCTATTTCTCCCATCCCAGCCTCCCCTGCCCCTTGCTCCCCACCTCCCTCCCATTTCTACCCCCCTTAGTTCTCGTCCCTGTGTCCTTCCTATTTGTTCCTCCAAATCCCTCCCCGTTTTTCCCCTTAACTTCCCTTCCTTCTCCCCTCTGGTCACTGTCCCCTTGTTCTCTATTTCAGTGTCTTTGTTTTGTTTTGGGTTTTTTTTCTGCTTGCTTGTTTGTTTTGTTGTTTAGCTTCCTGTTAAAGGTGAGATCATATGGTATTTGTCTTTCAGCACCTGGCCTATTTCACTCAGCATAATGCTTTCCAGTTCCATCCATGTTGTTGCAAAAGGTAGTAGCTCCTTCTTTCTCTATGCAGCATAGAATTCCATTGTGTATATGTACCACAATTTTTTGATCCATTCATTTACTGATGGGCACCTAGGTTGCTTCCAACTCTTGGCTATTGTAAATCGTTGCACATTCTCTTCTGAATAACCCTTATGTAAAGAAGTATAAATCCTGTCATGTCTCTGCTTGAAAATATTAAATGGCTTTCTGTTATCTACCAAACAAAGTCCAGATTGTGTATACTTGGACAGTTCATCAGTTTTTCCAAAGTTGCCTTCATTAATTCCCTTTCAATAACTCTTTATTATTTCTCACTGCTCCTGATCAGCTGAACTGATTTCTGTCACCTTTGTATTTCCAATGTACACCTGTTTCTGTGCCTTTGTGCTGTGCTCTCCACTTGAGGTCTTTACCCCTCCTTCTACCTTATATACTAGTTCTTTATACTTGAGTTCAAGTTACTCTAAAGTAGGATTGAAGTATGAATCTGTATAAGCTTCCATAGTACAAAGGACAGTACTTTGCACAAAAAGGAATAGAGTAAAATATCTGCATGACAGATAAATGATTCAGTGTTACCATATTTATTGTATGCAATATAATATAGTAGGTTACACAATTTATGTAACATGAGTAGCATGATATTATATATATTTTTTTCTTCAGGAAACTTATTTGGGAAGCCAGAAGGAGAAGATGCCTTTACATTTTCTTTTCCATTGGATTCTTCAACTCATACATTTGGAGCTGGAAAAGATGATTTTAGTTTTCCATTTTCATTTGAACAGGATCAAAATCCAACACCTTCTTCTGTAAAAGGTTTTTCATCTTCCTCACAAAATACAACTCAATTTACTTTTTTTTGAACTAATTACTAATTTATTGAATTATTTTACTGCTCTATAATCCTCTAGGGCATAAATTTACATTATTAAAATATGAAGACTACTTTTTTGTTGATTAAGCAATAATAGGTTATTTAGTTATATAATTTGATTATATTATTTAAATATTGAAGGAAATTACACCTATGTCATTTGATTTTGTTTTTATTGTGGTATTAGCTATTATCATTATTTTGGTTTTGATTTTGCAAGCCATCTTCAGCAGCACTTTTATTAATCTTAATAGAATTGAATGCTTTTTCCATTAATCTTTATTGTAAATATTAAGTGTGCTTCTCCATAGAACCTAAGTTTTATTATGCTAGTGCTTTAGATGCTTTGATAAGAACAAGGACTCCTTCTGGCCATCAGGACTTTTAGCAGTAACTGTGCAGAATTAATGTTGAGGTGTACTTAGCTCTTTAGCTACTTAAAAAGCTTTTAAAATTACTGTTTCACATACGCTTTACTATTGCAATATAAAGACTAATACCTTAACTCGTAATCTCAGAGAATTTATGTTACTGATAGTGTATAATATATGTTTTCTTCTAATACAACAAGGGATAAAATTCTGATTTTTATCAGTTTTTCCAGTTTCTTTAGTGGAAAAAAATGGAGTGTGTAACACCAATATCTGAAAATTGGATCGTTGTCTTAATGGTAACACTGTTAATGTATTTTTTTTTCTGAAAGCCTTTTTGAAGAACATTTAAAATTTTGTTTTTTTGTGTTCAACAAAAATATATTTTTCTGCAGCATTCACTTATCAGTAATATAGCTTAAATGAAGATACTTAAAATTTTATAAAATTATATAAACAATGCTCAATATCTTTGTATTTTGTGTTCTTAAAATTAGTTGTATTGAATTAGTAAGTAATAAAGAATATGACTCCATATTTTGGATTTTAAGAGCCTCACTCTATTTTCTTCCCCTTCTGCCCTACATCTGGTCAAGCTGATAAGAAAGCCCATGTGTTTGTTCCCTCCTTTGGCACCAAGTTAAAACCATCTGTGGAAATTCTTGCCCCAGCCTCACCCTTAACAATATAAAAATCCAAAGCCAATCTTTTTGCTTTGCTCTCTCAAGCCATTTTCAGACCGGATTGGAAGGCCTGGCCTTCTCTCTCCAGAGGAGCATTTTCACGCAGTTAATACCTTACTGGGGTGTGTCTGGTGTTGTGCCTCAGTGTCCCAAGCAAATGTTGAGTGAGAGTCTGTCTCGTTCCTTAACACCCCTTAAGGGTGTTTACAACATATCAAATGGTATTAAATTAAGATTTCTGAAAGACTATTTTTAGAAATATATAACTAATGATAGAATTCAAGAGAACTTTGGACTGTGTTTTTTAAAAATCTTCAAAAATGGCTGAAAGATGAAAATTTCAGTGAAGCTGGAGTTTTCATATTAAGTATTTACTTTATTGACCCTACAATTGAATTAATTGGTAGTTCTGATAAAATAAAAACATTTACTAAATATGAGAAAGCAGAAAAATCCTGGCTGGTGTGGCTGAGTGGATTGATTGAGTGTTGGCCTGAGAACCAAAGGGTCGGATAGTTCAATTCCCAGTCAGGCAGGGCACATGCTTGGGTTGCAGGGCACATGCCTGGGTTGCAGGCCAGGTCCCCAGTTGCAGGTGCACAAGAGGCAACCACATATTGATGTTTATTTCCCTCTATCTCCCTCTCTTCACCTCTGTCTAAAAAGAAATAAAATCTTTAAAAAAAAGAAGAAGAATGTAATTTATTTGTTAGTTATTAAGAGGTTCAAAACTGGTTTTAGCCTTGAGAAACCTAGTTAGTTATTCTGTGGTTTATTCTTTCTTTAAATAAATGCCTACCTCACTAGTATAGTTAGATTTATCATGTATCAATAAAAGAGGTAAAATATGCATTTTTAAAATACCTACAGTATGCATGATATTTTGAAGGCACATGCAAAAGCTAAAAAGTCTTTTTTGTTGAATTTATCGGGGTGACATTGTTTTGTAAAACCATACAGGTTTCAAGCATACAAATTAATAAAACATTACATGCACACTGCATCCTGTGCCCATTGTCCCAGTCAAAGCCTCTTTTTGTAAAAGACATAGTCTTATGCTCAAGGAACTTAAAATTTAAAGCCTCTTTTTGTAAAAGACATAGTCTTATGCTCAAGGAACTTAAAATTTAGTTGAGAAGACAAAACTTATGAAACAAGCCACCAGAGTGGCTCAGTTCATTGAGCATTGTCTCACAAAGTGAAAGGTTGCCAGTTCGATTCCCTATCAGGGCACATGCCTGGGTTGCAGACCCCATCCCTGACTTGGGCATGTGAGAGAGGCAACCAATCGATGATGTTTCCCACACACATCAATGTTTCTCTTCTCTCTCCCTCTGTTACCTTCTCTCTAAAAAGAAAATCTTGAAAAAAACCCTTACGAGACAAAAATATTACAATAAAGTAGTTTATAATCAAATGTGAGAGTTTATGAGTTGGTTTGTGGTAGAGACAGATATTGAGTGCTTTAAGAATCAGAAAAAGAAAGGTCATCATGAAATGGAAAGCCAGGAAGGATTCATTGGGGAGATAGAATTTGAAATGGGACTTTAAATGTATGCAGATTGTAAAATTCTTCAGTATAACGTTGATGCCTTTTTAGCTTTGTATTTTTTTACTGCCTAACTTTAGGGGAAAGTGTTCAGTAGGATTTCATTAAGTGCTTGTTGAATTAATAGAATTGACTGGATTGGTAAATGAGATAGGAAGGGCCTTCTAGGTCAGGGGAATAATATGAGCAAAAGAAAAATGCAACCACAAATTTAGTATGTGTGGAGGAAATACAGAATAGGCCTAATTGTAGTAAAGAGTAAGTGTAGGAAATTGAGTTTAATAGACATGATAGGACTGATATATAGAGGATCTTCAAGTGTTTTGACTTGATTGCTGAAGCCAATAAGGAACTTATATCCTAAATGCCACAGTTGCAAGAGAGAAGGATTAACTAAGAAAGATTAAGTTGTCAATACAGTCAGAGGAAAAATTAAAAGTTGAATCAGGTAATTGCAATAGTCTAGATATGTAAATAAGCACATGGAAAGATGCTCTACAACATATGTCATCAGAAATGCAAGTTAAAGTGCAGTGATACCAAAATGCCACTCCACGCCCATCAGAATGGCCAAAATCCAGAACATCGACAACACCAAATGGTGACAAGGATGTGGACCAACAACTCCCAGTCATTGCTGTGGGATGCAAAATGATATAGCTGCCTTGAAAACTAGTTGGGCAGTTTCTTACAAAACTAAGCATACTCTCACTATATGATCCAGCAATAGCACTTTTTAGTGTGTACCCAAAGGAGGAGAAAAAAATGTCTACATAAAAACATGAACATGCATGTTTAAAGCAGCTTTATTTATAATTGCCAAAACTTGGAAGCAACTAAGATGTTCTTCAGTAAGTGAATTGATAAGTAAACTGTGCTATATGCAGGTAATGGAATATTAGTGTTAAAATAAATGAAAAATTAAGCTATGAATAGATAGGAAACTGAAGTGCATAAGACAGTCTGAAAAGCCTACATACTGTGTAAGTTCAACTATACAACATTCTGGAAAAGGCAAAACTGGAGACAGTAAAAAGATTCATGGTTAGGACAGTTTAGAGGAGAGGGAAGAAGGACTAGGGCAGAGCACAGAGGATTTTAAGGTAGTGAAAATACTTTGTAATACTATAACGATGGATACATGTTATTATTAATTTGTCCAAACCCATAGAACGTACAACATAAAGAGTGAACCCTAATGTAAACTATAGACTTGGGGTGATAATATTCCAGTGTAGATTCAGTGATTGTAACAGATGTACCGCTCCGGTGGTGAATGTTGAGAATGGGGAAGGTTATGTGTGTGTGGAGGTATGGGAAATCTCTGAACCTTCTGCTCAGTTTTGCTGTGATACTAAAGTTCTCTAAAAAATAAAATCTATTTTAAAAAATCAATAGGACAGTTTAGACACCTTCCCTCCTTCACACACAAAGCCTTAATCAAGCTTTGCTGGTTGCAGGGTTGTAAATCCTTATTGGGTAATAGAAAATATAAATATTAATTTTTTATTTATTGTTACTGAGTAGGTGTTAGAATTTGAGGTGCCTAAACTGGCAGCTGACTAGAGTTTAATAACTGACTAGAGAGAGAGTGTGTTAGTAATTTTGAAGTGGTATTATTATTGTTAAAAAATAACATTTTTCTGATCTTTTCAAAGAATGAATGAACAAACAGTATGTAAACCTGGGTGGCATGTTGATAACTTTCCCTTTGAATTTCAATTGCTGCTATGTAATTTGCCTTAAAGGCTGAATGGTTCGTTTAGAAACATTCCCATTGCCTTGCTTTTATATTTTGCTTTTGATTTCTCCAAAGTTGACACAAGTCACATGCAATCAAATCTATATCCCTGCTGGATAGGCCTGTCCTAATAATTTCTGACTCACACCCAGGTTGTTTGCAGCTCAGCAGTTCTGTTTATAGATACATCACTTTGTATTCTGTTGTTAACATCTTGCTAAGAATGTGTCTCTTAAAACATGACTTCTTTCATAATGTACTTCTTTTTGTTTAGATATGAGTATGATACTCTCTTTAGAACTTTGTTACCTTACTCTTTAGAAGCTGGTTTTTCCAAATAATCAGCTCTCCTTTTTATTTTTTGGCTGTGTTTTAGGAAGTGTTTCTTAATAAAGTATTTGTAGCTCCAGACTGATGACTCACACACAGAGCAGAGGAATGATGGATAGAGTTTTGAATAGAGTGGAACCTGGAGTCCTTGTCTGGGTTTAAGCACTGAGAAATTCATGTTAAAGTCTGATTCTTGGCCAACTATTTATTCATTTGCCTCAGTTTCTTCATTTTCAGAGTGGTGGTGATGATCCTACCTATCAAACAGGATTGTTTGACCTAATACTTACTCATGATAAGTACTTGATGAATTGT